GTGGTTTGAGAATATGGAACAAATGGAGGTGGCAGCGAAACATTTGCAGGATACTGATTCTTCAGATTTTGGAGTGAGCTCACTTTCTCCTGCAGATGGGACTGAGTGACCTTCATCTGCTCATCCCATGCTTTCCACTGTTTCTCATACTCTTGAAGCTGGTCTTTGTGAGGGTAGGTTTGAAGCTGATGCTGCCACTGTTGGTTCATTGATCGCTCCCAATCTTGATGAAGCTGCTGGAACTGCTTTTGCTGTGCCTCATAATGTCGCAGCTGCATGTCCACTGACATTGTCTGCAATGAGAAGACAAGAATAGCTTCAAAGTACCATCTTAGTTATTTTCAGAGCCACGTATTTCAGTATCACTTGTAATATCACAGTTTCTGTCTTGGGCAGAAGCTTGAGGAAGAACTATGCTGAAACAAAAGCAAACACAAACTGTGATGTCTAAAGTCATTGTGACAATTTACACATGACTAGAGAACATATATGTATAAAAGGCGCTTTTTTTGGCTTTTTTTTTTTTTTTAAACAGGACAGCTGAAGAAAGCTATAATCAAAGGGCTCCAATCCATGTTATTACTGGATGCTAACAATGGCTAAAGCCCAAATCAATCTTCACGCTTTCAATATATACAGTACATGGCTATTTCTCAAGATTCCAGTTGCTGCTATTAACCCACTCAGAGTTGCTTCAGCTGTCAGCAATTATTTTTCTCTAAGCCTTTGTCAGATCTTATTTGCACAATGAAGCTTCTTTCAAGGAGGTATTCTTTCGTTATGTGTAGATAGATTTGATCTTGTCTGGTATTTTCAGGGTTCACACTTAAGATTATTTTTTTTTAAAAAAAACCAAGCAAACAGCCCAAGCTGCAAAGAAGTGCTTAATGTACAAACTCCACCAACCCAGAAAAAGCTGACTCAACTCTCCAATACAGTAATCAGCTTCTACTTAAAAGCTTAAAGGTTGCAACACCGATATAATTATCCAAACTTGTTACTATGACTTTTTTTTATTTCACTGATTATTTGAGTGAAAAATAATGTGAGACAGTGATTTTCTTAATTACTTTAACTGCGTATTTTTGGCACGTATGTTTACTTCATTATGGTACATATTTATTCTTGTACTACACAGTGTTGTAAAAAAGAGAAGCTACCAAATTACTCCATGCAATCATCTGTTTACCTGACCTTTCTTCTGAATTGTTTCTCCAGCAGTAAAACATTGAAAGCTGGGTAAATTCAACAGTGTTCAGCTTTGCTCCTGTATCACCCAGGTATGTCTGAAAAAATCTTATAACAAGTGTAAAGTCCTGTATTTCTCATCCTACTAAAGCTTCATCACCATCTTTCAATTCTTTTTTCATCTTGAAATTGAGTGACAGTAGGAAAAGGGGACATAGACTTCTACCCAAGCAGAAAAAGTAGCTAGACAAATGAGCCGACCATGACAAATTATTCAACTACTTGTTTTTCAGCAGACCATGAGTGCTAGGTCACCCAGGAAGTATATCAAACACCATCTCCTTAGTGTTTCACCTGTAAGTGTGGAGGCTGTTGCATGATCTGTTGATACTGCTGTACTATCTGCTGCAGCTGGGCATGCTTCTGCATTATTCTCTGATATTGAAATCCAACCCGCTGATGGGGATGCTGCTGCCATTGAGCTGCTGCCGCTTGCAATTGCTGCAATCTCAAATCTTCCTCGGGGTCATCAGGAGGTTCAATATTGAGCTATAGAAAAAGGCAAATACTATAAACAAAGGAAAGCTCCTTCTGTCAGAAGAAAAACACACTTGGTCACTACCCAGTTTACAGGAAGTTTCTCAGTGTTCGTTATTTTATCACTCTAGTTCAGCATTCTGGCCACCCACAGCTTCTGGAAGGCTGAATTTTTATTTAATTTATTTTTCATGTGAATAGTGTGATCTAAAGGTTAGGCTGATGGCAACTAAGGTATTCATACATACAGAAACTACCTAGAGGAAACAGATTAATGTAGATCTGTTATCTGTTGCTCACAGCAAATATAATGAGACAATAGTGCTTTTTCATGATGAAGTAAAGTAATTCAGAGTGTGTTATTTTTGCCGCTCGGTAGGAATCCGCACACTGTAAGTTAAAGTGGAGCACACGCTGCAGGGTGATCTACTACCCTACAGCAATCTGTTCAAACATCAATCATGACCTCCATCCATTATGTAGTAACTGTTATTTAGCATGCTGACAAAAATATTCTGTGCAAAGTTCTTGGCTTTCAGATAACTATAACACACAGAGAGAAGGGGAGCCCGAATTGACAAACTGCCAGAGAGGAATTAAGAAACAGTGTCTTAAAGATATCATTCCTCATCTACTGAGTACTTGATTTTGTGCTTAGGTATCACAAAGTGTTTCTCAGACAAAGATGACAACGTTGGGGAAGGTGCGAGTGAGTCAAGCTTGGACTCGCTTCGTGCATGTGTGGGTGACTACATAAGACTATATACATGGAGAGTATTTTTATTTTTTCTAATTGATGCAGCCTTAGCAAATGTTCTTTTAAGATTGCTTTACCATATTTAGTTATTGTTACACAGTATACACAAGAATTTGATGGCATTATTTTCTTGTTTCTTTGTCCTGTCTAGCACAACAAATGTAGTGGCATCACTTTACAAAGCCTACCTGAGTTTCAGTGGATGTAAGAGAAGACTCATCTTCTTTAGAGGCTGGAGGCAGGGATTCATTAAGTGGAGGAGGTTCAGATTGCTGAGTTGAAGCACTCATTTTCCCTTCTTCAGACTTTGATCTCTGCTCAGATGCATCCTTCACTACTGGACCCTTCATTTGCTGCTGTCCCTGAGCATGGGCTTTTGCCCTTTGCTGCAGGCTAAGCAGGTGCTGCTGGTACCAGTATTGCTGCTGTTCCTACAACAGACAGAAATTTTCTAAGACAGCTTTCACAGGAGAAACTATGAAAATTAACTCATAATAGGCACTGGAATCATACTCTAGAAAAGTTTTAAAATCTGTTTTGAAGGAAATCTCACTTCATTATCAACAGCATTGCAATGGATGTCAGAAGGTAGAATCAAAATTCAGAAACCACTATGAGGTCTAGTACCTGCAGCAGAATTTATTTCCTACCTCAAAGAGCTTCCAACTAAAAAGAACAATAACAAAAAGCAGAAAGATGGTCAGTAATAAGCCAAATTACTACAGAAATGTGATAAGTACCATACTTCTTATTTTTAGTGCTTTTTATTCCTAACAACTATAGGTACTTATTATGAGACTAACTTAGGTAAAAGAAGGGAAAATGGAGGACAAGTATGAGTAACAGAGCAGTAAAGAGAAAAAGGAGGAAATGTACAAAAAAAATGAAGAGGATGAACAGAGAACACAGACATCAAGTAGAGTGAAAATGACAGCTCAGAAATTGTGGTGAAAACATTTGAATAAAGGCTGTGGAAAGGAAAAAGAGCAATCAGAATCAGCATGCAGGGAGGATTATTTATCATCTGAATTCCCATCAATTCTGCGTCATTCAACAGCTGAAGTAGTAAATATATACGGTTGCATCCAAAAAATTATCCATTTAAGAAGTGATCAAGCTATCAGTTTTAAATATTTCAGGCTAGAATTAGAGTACTCCAGGCAGATGACAGTAGCTTCAAAGCACTGTAAGCGCCACACAAAGCACCAACATAAAGAACGAAAGACTAAAGATAAGTATCTCAACACTTAAATAACCATCTTAAAGAGACCTGAATAGGAACCGACAGTTCTCTATCTCTTCCAACAGAAGAAATACCACACATCAAATCAGACTGGCAGGACACAGATTTAAAACACATGGGAGGCAGCTCTTCGCCTGACATGGCCTTGTGCTACCAAAGTCCCTGCCAGAGACCACTGCAAAGGCTAAAATTTTGTGGATTCGAGACACAGCTCCACAAGCTCATAGAAGAAAAATCTACAGATTTAAAAATAAAGACACCAGTTGCAGCTAAGGCAGCTGCTGTATTTTAGGGAAGTATCACAATACACTTGATTTTTAAGTTATTCTCTTAGCACCTTCTTTTAGTCACCGTCAAAGACAAAGTTATAAAATCCTGTGGTTTTGGCCTGACGTAGTGCAAGGATTCTTGTGTTCTCATGTCAATACCACCTCTGAGAATCTCTGACTGCGCTACATCTTTCACATCCTCTGTTCCTCCCTTCCATCCAAGCATGCACAGTTAAGAAAAGACACGTATATAAAGCCCACTCAGAAACAGAAAGGAATCCAAAAGATGCAGGTATTTTAAAATATAAGTGTGACAACAACAAAGTGGTAGGTGCTCTCTGATGAGATTTCTCAAAACTGAACCATTCCGCTTGTCTTAAAACACATTTAAAAGAAGTGCAAGCTTCCTCCAAAAGCCTACCTCGCACTCAAATCAGGAATGATGTCTTCTACTAGTAGCAATCTAGCAGACACCATTAAACATGGAGCTGTATTGTTAAAAAAATACTTCTGTAAAACTGTAACTTGGAGATGAGGTCAATGAGAGCAGAGCTTATGCTTCTTGGACTTTATGTTGATCCTGCAATAACTCCTGCCAAGAATCTTTTTAACAAGAATGCGACTCAGAAGAGCTGTCATGGCTTCGGGTGGAAGATGTGCATTCATGCTCCAGCGTGGTCTCTCTCAGAAATCTTCAACAACATGCTGTAACATTTACAACTTTCAAGACCGGGGAGGAGCATACAGCCCCAGCTATACAAAAGCTGATTCAATTATGCCTCTCAAAAGGCATTATAAGGCGATTTACATGACGGTGCTGGATGCGATGCTTGGTGAGCACCTGTTCTACTGCCACAAAATTGTTGTCTCCATGGATCCATTTTGTTTCCTCCTCATTCTACCAATTGGACAAAGAGTTAAAACTCAGAATATGATCAGGGGTTCACACAAAGAGCTATGATAATACCCTGTCATCTATTTGTTGCAGCAGATGAAGTCAGTGACACACATATTTCAGGTTCCATGTGAAAAGCATAAGAAAAGTGGAAAGGCAGATTTCTACAGCTTAATCTGAGCAAAACAGAAGTGCTAGTGTAGAAAATTCCTGATGGTGAAAAGTTCAGTTATTTGAGCGCTTATCTCCTGTCATTCTTCAAGTTCAGTAACAATCCTTAAGCCCAAGGAACACACCAGCATCAACATATGACTTTTTGCTTTTTTGGCTGACCAAGAGACTACACCTGTTGCATTGTACAGGTAACACTGAAACCAGTACTATCAGCTCCTAACCACAGGACATACCATGAAAAACATTAATGCAGAGCCCATGCCAAAATACTACTTCAAAATGAATTTAGGTGACCCTAGGCCATAACATAATGCCTATTTTGGGGGACACTCTGTCCTTTTCTAGTAAAGATAGCAAAAGAATGGTTGAGTACCATTTATAAAACAAAGGGGGGATTTTAAAGAGTGCAGCAGTCTGCTGAAAGGTGACATGGTAAAGCTAAGGTAGATAAATGCATACTTATGGGTACAGATGCACCCACACATATTTGTTTACTACTATAAATAAATAGCAGCACACAGTGCCCAAATATCAGATAATGCATTAATGAGATACAGGTAGACTAACAGGACTTGACAAAAGATGCATCTGATCGTAGAGAAACAAGAATTCAGCAATTTAATCCAACTGTACACCCGTGTAAGAAACTACGCTAAACTCAATATTGTCAAAGCAAAGAGCGGTACCTTATTTTTAGACAGGAAAGAGAAATAATAAAACACTAACTCACACTATTTGCATAATATTTTCTATGTTAAGAGAAAAACACTGATCTACTTGGCTGCAGCCACTGTTTCTGCGCAATGAGAAGAGAAAGAATTGTTTTAATTTACCAGTTTAAACAAAGGCTTAATAGGATCTTATAAATGACACATTGCAGTATTTCTCTACTCAGCTGTTAAGATCATTAGCAAGAAAGCATCACCATGCTTTGCTTTTCCTATTCCTATTGTGTAAGGACTTGTTGCTGCAAATCCTGTCTCATTTTACAGCCTAAGATAGCCAAAATCATAACAATCTGTTAATAACAAATTTATGATCAGCAAAGTACCATATTTATTTTGAATTAACACTGAATTGTGCATGAGAGTAAACAAACTACTCAAGATAGAAATTGTTTGTATAAACACTCATAAACCAGAAAACGTAAACTTCAGCTGCAGTCTGCTTCTTCTACATGTGCATCACAATAATGCATCACTTGCAATTCCTCTGGAAAGAAGAGAGTGGTTGAGGAACAATTAAATAACATTAATGAAATTTCAGGCCACATAAGGGGGGAGGAATTACAGCTTACTGTTTGATCTTGAGTGCAATAGTTTAAGTCGTCAGCAATCAGCCTCAATACCGAATTAACATCACTTTTTCTACACCTGATTTTTCAACATTTTTGTTTTGTCATTAAAAACTTTAGAGTCCCATTGCTATCACTGTAAAAGATCAATTAGTACTGTCCAAAACCTTTGTAAAATTAAATTAACGAACTGAAAGCACCACTTTGCTAGGCAGTGATTAGTTATATGGTGCAAGCTTAAAAACAATACATTCTTAAATGTATTCAGGTATTGGTACAAAATTTTAATGTATACAATTAAAAAGGTGTCCCAACAATGAACAAATTTAAAGTGACAGGGACTTCAATATAACACAACAGGATTTTTGCAAACTTAGCTTCAAATCAGAATGCTAAGATCAATTTGCCATATAAAGTCAATTTAAAGGATGCACTTCAGCTTTGCTCTTGCAGCCGGATCTCTACAAGCCAACTCTAAAACAAAGCAAAAGCCTCAGTGAATCTAACTGACCTGTACACATAGCTGAAGACCTCAACATGTGTCTCTCTTTGTGCATGCTTAACTTTAGGCAACTGGATTGTCACTAACTTTATGCATAGGAATGGTCACATCAAGTTCACTGGAACTGCTCCCATTTAGGAAGTGATGCATGTGAATGTTTGCAGGCATTTTGGCCCTACTGTACACATAAAAAGCACACAGCATTAACCATAAGAATATTTTTCATGTCAAAACCATTTCAGAACATTTCCCTCCAATGCCCTGTAAAATTTGATACTGGAAGCTTGAGCACCTGTAGCATAAAACATCTAAGTGTAAGTAAAGTGCAACTATGTACTAGGACAGAAACATTTTTGCAGCTTTAACTATGTCTGGTAAGATTAAAATAGTAACAATTCCACACCGAACAGACAGACAACTGAAACACGACCCCATGAGAAAACTAAATGAAGAAATCACGGAAGACAAGAGGCACTCATCCTGCAACGTGCAATAAGCAAACAGACTGTTCTATCTCACAACAGGCTGGACGAAGTCAACAGAGGTTTGGTGCAGGTCACCCACATGCTGTACTTTGGAAAAAAAATTCTCCAGAGACCAACAAAGGCTCCAAGAAAACAAAATTCAGCAGGCAGTTAGACTTTTGCCTAAACAACTCATTTGCTCCTGAAAAATGAAGATTTCTTACACCTCAACAACCACCACTGGATAAACAAACATTTATGGAGCCTCGTCTGAGCCATGCCACTCCTGGACTTCCAAGGGTTGCGTCCAAACCCTCGGAGTATTACGGAAACACGGCATGCTTATTAACTGCCCCTACTCGGAGACCTTTGCAACACCCGGTACCCGCCAGCGGTCGATCGCCACCGCTGCCCTGGCAACTGCCCGCTGCCAGTCGGGGCCGCAGGGGCGAGTGCAGAGGCGGTGGTGCCTTACCTGGGGAGTCATGGTGGAGGGGTCCGGCTGCTCGGTGCCGCCGGCCTCCTTGGCAGCACCCTGCGGGGCCTCCGGCTGGGCAGCAGCGGGCAGGGGCAAGGACGGCTGGGGTGGGGGGAAATGGGCCTGCGATGGCTTGGCCGG